GTTAGCCCGAAAAATATATACAAAACCCTCCTCTCTCTCTCTCTCTCTCTCTCTCTCTCTCTCTCTCTCTCTCTCTCTCTCTCTCTCTCTCTCTCTCGCTCTCGCTCTCGCTCTCTCTCGCTCTCTCTCTCTCTCTCTCGATTGAAGAGAAACTTGTTCGGTGAAGAAAGTCTCTCGCAATGTGAGATGGCAAATGATTTTCAATAGATTCACTATATATAAAAAACATGTATGGAGATGAGATCCTGCAACAAGGATTATTTCACCTGAAATCTTAATGTTGTAAAGAAATTTTTTTATCCATCCTGGATTTATTCGTCTATAAGAATAAAATTAACAAAAAAAAGTAAGTTTAAGTATCGAATCAAAATGGCGAATACGGGGGAAATTTTGCGCTAAGAGTCGTTAAAATTTATTTGCCAGCCACGCCTTTAACGGAAAGAGGATCGTGTCCTTTTTGAAGAAACTTTTGACGAAAAGAAGTTTTGGAAGCACTTAAAATGGAACGAGGCGTGTTCGAGAGGATCCGTCAAGAAATTAATCACTCCTTTATCGTCTTCTCCTAACGAGTCCCTTCTTGCAATATTGACTGGCATTTGTCATTGTCACAAGAAAACTCCTTTCGAATGAACCTAATTAACTTTCCAAAAGGTATACATACAAATACTGTAAAATATATTCCAAATACTTTTTCGAAAGAATGAAAAGAAATGAATTTCTGAATAATTTGTTTTAAATATCAATTGTTTTAAATATTGATTGCATTTTGAAATCGTCGTAAATCGAATTGAAGATTTGAAAATCGATTTGCCCTGTCACAATGATAAATGATGAGCGGAGCAAAACTTGACAATCTGATTTTTACGATGCATTCAAAGGCGGGCTAAATTTATGATACCAATAGATGATTTTGTCGATCGGTTCGCATTTTGACGATCGAAAAGTTGCAAAGTGAACGTGATTCGTCACGCGAGAAAAAAAGGCGAGATAAAGAAGAAATTCCATGGTATAAAAAATTGGTCTGCTGGAAAGGTGATTTTAACTATAGGAGGGTTTTAGGTGTGTATATATATATAGGAGTATAGTGCTAGGTCGTCAGAAGCATGATAAAGTGGGCCTATGCGTTCTTCTCATAAATAGTGTGATTGATCGATATTATATTCATAACAGGCAACGACTGTCATCAATCATATCCCGCCGCTCATAACTATGAGGCCTTTATAATATTATACCATACCTACTGGAATAATACATCGCACCCTCACTTCCCATGTTCTACAATGGGTGTGCTCCAGAAATATTTGCATCCCTTCGTTTCAAAATTGAACCCCCCCCTGCCATTTTTTATTTTAATTTTCACATTAATTATATCGAAAAATCTGTTACAATTTGTAAAAATAAATCATCTTGTATTGATATATAATAATTTATTTTAAACTGTGAGAAATTTTTGCCAAGTTTTCTATTATATAATTTCTGAGGTAAATTTATCAATTTTTGAAACTCCAGTAGCACGTATAATGTTCCAGAAACATAGACATCATTGAGGCAATATTGGTAATGTTAAGGCAGAGTTCTCAATATTGCTGTAATATTACGTGTGCTACTGGGGCATATGTAAAAAATAATTTTTTTCAGAATTTTGATAACTTTATGAAAACGTGAACATTATTATATCACAGTAAAGTAAGTGGTAAGAACAGTAATAGTATATTAAGCAACAAGGGTATAAATTTTTGTGACACGAGTGGAGGTCGAGGGCGCCGTATAGGCGCCCCGAGAATCTGAGGTTAGATTTCAAAAATTCAAAATGGCGGATCCAATATGGCGACTACTTTTTCAAAAATTGTTAAAAATTAATTGGATTTATTTAAAACCTGTCATCAGGGGTTTTTGAGAACGCTGACTACGAATCTGAAGTCAAAATTTAAAAGATTCAAAATGGCGGAACTTTTAAATATTAGTTTTCCATTTTGAATCATTTATTTTAAACTTTTTCTTTTATCGAAATTTGGATCCGCTCTTTTATCGTTTTATAAATCTAACATTAAATTTGGGCTTTACTGACCCTGAAAAGTTCCAAGAAACAATTTTCAAGCGAATTTGTTAAATTTTTAAAAGTTTCGATTAAAATTTTGGATCCACAATTTTCAGTTTTTTAAATTTGACATCAAATTCGGATTCAAAGACCCCCAATAACCCCCAAGACACAATTTTCTAGCAAAGCCGTTAAATTTTTTTAAATTTTTATCGCCATTTTGCGTCAGCCATTTTGAATGTTTTTAATTTGAACTTTCTGTAAAGTTCTAGACGAATTACAATTAAAAAAACTGACATCAATGGAACGGAAACATAATCTTTTATAGAAATTTTAAAATACACCTTAATAATCCAATCTAAACATATATGTTTTATATATTTTTTCTCAATTCTACTTTCAAAAATATACATCCCTACTAAATTTATACCCTTTCAGTTAATGGATACTTTACTATCAAATTAGTAATAATCTACTAAAAATTAGTAAAAGCTGATTTAGTAAAAATTAGTAAACAGTAAACTGTTTGATTAGTAAAACGAATCCGAACACTCATTAGCAGAAAACTGTTCTAATTCAGATATGGAATACTCGAAACTTTTTAGTAATTTTTACTTTTAAAAGATTTTTAAGGAAAAATTACCCAAGACATTTTTTTCAATGACATAATTCTCATGAATACAGAAAAGGGATACTTTATACACACCCAAAAGGAAGTGTAGTAAGTGATTCGCCTTCTGGCAGAGGCAGAAATCTGACATTCACAAACTATCGAAGCGAAACGAATTCTAAGCCGATTGCTTCTCATCTTTCAAGAAAAAAAAACTGTCGAAACTATACGTATTCAAAAAGAAAAAAAAATGATTGACAGTCACATAAGAACTCTCCTTAATTTACAAATTAGAAACTGATAATAGTATATTAACGTCTTAAAAAATAAATTCAAAAAAAGTGTATAGGATACAAATATTTCCCGGCGGATGGAATAAATGGTTTTTAATTGAACTTTGAAGTGCGCCTCACGGTGTGCTTTTCTGATGGTTCAGCATGACAATGGGATTCAGGGACTGACACGGAAGCCCCTCTTTCGTAACGTGATACCGGCAGCCTAAATAAACAGGAAAGAATAAATAAAAGTTATTTGAAACATCAGACCAGTGTTTGTCTAGCTGTCAGAATAGTGGATGGCAAGCGGAGAAGAGCTGTTCCGAATGGATATTGAATTGGCTGCTTTCAGCTCACCGCCCACACAGCCACGGGCATTAAAATAATAATGTTTCTATCAGTTGAACGCCAACTAATACAATCGACCTGAAAAACATTCACTATATCAATACTCCACCAGGCACATCGAAAAACATATTGTCTTGATGCCATTCCACTTCATATTTTTCGCAATACTCAATTTATTTTTACTGTATATAAAAAGTTTCAGGGGAGGAGATTTTTCTGTGGGGAAGCTGTTTGAATTTTAATCATCAAAATCAGAAAACGATTTTAGAAAATTTTTAGTACAAGCTTGCTAAAAAATTGCAGGGTGCTTGCAGTCCAAGCTTGATAAAACCTTGCAGAAAACTTGCAGGTTGTTTGCAATCCAAGCTTGGTAAAACCTTGCAGAAAACTTATAGGACGTTTGCAGTCCAAGCGTGGTAAAACATTGCAGAAAACTTACAACTTTCTAAAGGGGTTACGTACAGTTAGAGCTTCAAGAAAAGCTGTTTTTTTAGGAATTTTTTGTGGCCACACTTTAAAATAATTAATAAAAAATCTTTTTCCACATAAAATACATATATATCAAGAAAATTTTCTGAAATTATAGTCCATAAATATAAAGAAATATCCGAATGATAGAACATTTGCGTGAGCTCCTTAAATAAAAATGGTTTCGTGGTGATCACGCTATCTCTTGACTGGATCATCTAAAATCAAATCGCGAAGGAGAAATCGTTAGGTAATGATATAATGCGGTACTTGAACGAAGGGATTTGAAAAATTGTGATTTTTCGCAAAATGGCGGATGTTGAAAGTCAAAAATTGTTTTTTGACAAAAATTTTACTCACATTTTCAGCTATAAAAAAAAATTATTGTAAAAAAAATCCTTCGTTCAAGTACCACCCAATTATATAACAAATAAGTGGTAAAAATTTCAAACCGTTCGGTAAAGCCGTTCTCAAGTTACAGTGATCACCGACTCCCAAAACATGGTTTTGAGAAAAACGAGTTCAAAGTTTTGAATCCCGCCGCCTGGCCATAGTAACGGCTGAGACGGCTCCATTCAAAATTCTATATCTCCATAAATAATAGTCCGATTTGTCTCAAATTTTCAGACAATACTTTTGAAATGGTATACTTTTAGAAAATGCATTTTAAAAAAAATCGATTTTTTGAAAATCCTAAGTGTACGCGTAACCCCTTAAAGGATAAAAAGCTATTTCTGTTTGAAAATAAAAGAGGATATCCATAGTTTAATAGCTGATGGTAATGAAGTTATTATTAAAAATTGTTTAATAATTGAAGTAACGATGTTACGAGCGAATAAAATTGACAGCCGACGTCCGTTCGTCTGCCATTCTTGCAAGCTGTCTATCTATCAGCATGACGTCGAGCGACGCCCTCTTTATTATACATTCAATTATTAGGCGCTGCATATGACAAGAGGTATTGCATATTTATATCTGCGAGCGAAGTCGAGACTCGAAATGAAAGGAAGGGGAGAGAGAAAGAGAGAGAGGGGGAGAGTTTCCTCTGACAACCTGTCAGTAACATACGTGAACGGAGACGACGGTATAATTTCAGTATATGGAAGGAAGCTATCAACCTTTATAAATAACCTGTTTATTACGATAATGTCCTGAAGGAGAGTCCAGAATAGAGTCGACGTCGGTATGAACGCGCTGATACTAACGCGCTCCTCCTATGTATTCCATATGGACGAGCGCGTTACTATCAGCGCGTTCGACTCTATTCTGGACTCTCCTTGACTTTACATTGCGTGTGTTTCCATAATCGTTTAACAAGACGGAGACGTCGAAATGCGTTAACCATGCCCATATCAACAGATAATCTAACACCTGAAATTAATATCAAACAATTAACCTCAAGCATAATACAATAATTGCGGAATACAACTTTTTTCTTAACATAAGATAATTGTATTTTGATTTTCAAACTTCCAAAATGATTGTATTTAGCAAATAAACAAAACGTATTTTTAAAGGAGTTATGACTATTTCTCATTTATGAAACACTTAGCGCGGAAATAAATATTTTCTTTAAAAATATTATTTCAAAATGAAATTATTTCTGCCTTCTATATAATATATGTATAACGTTTTCACTGTGGTCTTCAATGTTGTATTAGCAGAGTAAACATCAATATTTAATTTTGCCACCGCAAATTTTCTGCGGGAATTTAATGCATGTTGCAAATTTGTAATTTTGATGACCACACAATGTATGACATTTAGTGTACAATGGACAACATTTGACCACAAAAAGGAGTTCAACAATGTTTGTGCGGACATAAATCGACCACAGTTATATTCGAGTTGAGAGAGGCGGAGAATATAAATAGTGCCATTTTTATTTCAATACTTTGAGAATATATCTGAAAAAGAGGATTTTATTAAATCCTATCTTGATTTAAAATTCTGTTGCAAATGACTAGTAAACTTACCAGAGGCGTAGCCAAAAATAAGTTTCGGGAGGGGAGGTTTATGTAATTTGATAAGAGGTGTACTCAGAATAAAATTAGAAATTTAGGCTTTAACATATAAATTTTTCCAAAATTTGGGGGGGTTTGAATCCCCAACCCCCCCCCCCTGGCTACGCCCTTGAAACTTACGTCATGCTTGCTGCAAGATTGCAGTAACCTTTCTGCTGTCAATTTTACGTTATGATATTAATACATTTTATTTAATTATAATAAAATTTTTTACTGCAATTTTGCTGCAAGCATGGCGTAAGTTTGCTGCATAAGCTTGCATCAAGCTTTATTTTTGCACATTTTGAGAACATTTTGATACTTACAGCAAACTTCCTGCAAGTTTACAGATTGCTTATAGACTATCTATATATAACAATAAATTGAATCTTAAAAGGAATTAAACTGTACTTTTCGTAAGATTCCTGCGCAAGCGGTAAGGTTGCCGTAAGCTTACAGATGACATGCTACCTTAACTATCGTATAAATCTTCTTACACAAAAATTGACAGACTTTATATTTATAGCTTTTTACATTTGCTTAAAATCAAGATTACATTATACTTATAATTCTCCGCAAATTGTAAAGAAAAAAATACCGTCTTGACCTAAAAAGATAGCAAAATTTGTATTTTTTCTCCAAGAAACGTTTTTTTGATATCTTTTTAGGTTAAATAAATCACCGCCAGCAGAATTTATACAAGATTGCATTTTCTTTAATTTGGTTTCTTGGGGTAATAAAAATTTTTCTTTCAATGGACGTAATTTTCTAGTCATTTCAAGATATTATCATAAGTCGTCTAATCAAACCGTGATTCTGCGGTATATATAGAAAATAAATGTTAGCTAAATGCGACGTAAATGTCAAAAAAGAAATTGAAGGCGTTTACATATATAAATTCAATAGATATAAAATTATCAATCCACAACAATCTTTAAATTAAATCCTATATTTTTAATCAGAACTATACTTTCCACTATAAAGATTATAGTTTTAATTTTCTGGGATGGAAAATTGTATAGGATTGAATTTTGTGTTTGATAATATATTTCTGACAAAAATCTACCTGGAGGGATCGGATTTCGTTTTCTCAAGTTATTTTTCTGAGGTTACCTCTCTCAGACGATGAACACTATCAAGAAGGATTCACCTATATATATATATATATATATATATATATAATAAGTGTTGTATATATGTGTATGTATCTAAACAGTCTCATCGTGATTCTGGCTTCTGGCATCGTTATGGGTAAGGTAAGACGTTGACGGACGGCTCTCTTGCGAACGCTTGACGGGAAACACAAATTGTGGGCGCAGCTGTGTGTGCCGATGGTAATCAAGAAACATGGTAGGTAGCAACCTGAAGTGCTCGGATAATCATTCTCCACGCAATCATGGACAGAAAGACGCGGAAAGTGACAGGATTGCTACTTCATGGGAAAGCCGATACTGATCCGATATGCTTTTCATCCCATCAAGCTGAAGTTCAAGAGGTCTTCTATAAAGCTTTGTATATATGCGATACAGAATAACACTATAATTTCTTTTTGTCAAAACTTCATTTTTAATAAGATGCCAAGTAATGCAAAAAAAAATGAGATTTAAAAATTTTTTTCTTTAATAAAGAAAAAAGTACCTTGAATGGAAGAGAAAAATTTCTTACTTTCATGAATTTGTTAAGGGGACATTCCAGTTCAAAATGTAAAAAAAATCGATTTTTTTTTGTTTTTATTTTCGGATTTCTTATAGTGTCAAGAATACTCTCCTAAAATATTATTGCAAAATTCGAAGTTAAACAAAAGTTATACATCCTTATTCTTCGCCATATGTCAAAGATGTTTTTGTATGCGGATAAGCAATCGAATGATTTAAATGTTTTCTCATTTGCATTTTTTAAAAAAGAAAAACAAAAATGTATTTGGTGTTGCTGATCACAAATTAGATATCAAATTTTCAAAATTCAAAATGGCGGATCCAATATGGCGGAAAAGACAATTTTTTAATTTTAATTTTTTTTTCGTCCACTATATTGCATCCGCCATATTCAATTTTGAAAAAATGATGTCATATTCGTAATCAGCGACCCCAAAAACCCCCCCGTAACGATTTTCAAGCAAATCCAATGATTTTGAAAAAAATGTCCGCCATATTGGATCCGCCATTTTGAATTTTAAAAATCTGCTTCCATATTCGTAATTAGCGACCTCAAAAACCCCCGAGTAAAGATTTTCAAGCAAATCCGATGATTTTTTAAAAAAAATTTATTTCGAAACTTATGAACAAAAACTTTAAATGCGTTTTTCTCAAAATGTCTTTTTTTGATCTGGTAAGAATGATATCTCGAGTTCTTCTGAAGCGATTTTGAAAAATCAAACGGCTTTTGATTCAGCGTCATCATGCCTATAAGAGGAACCTCAAAAACTGGAAAATTTCCAACTCCCCTTCTTTTTATAAGAGAAATTCTGAATAAAAACACCTTTTTTTTGCTTATTTTTGGGAAAAAGTACTCTAAAAAAAGGGGGGGAAGAAAATTCCACTTTTTTGAGGTTCCACACCTAAAGAATTATCTAACGAAGAGAATGTCACTTCCTTTTTGGTTTTATCTGTTTTAGAAAGTTTGGAATTGATCTTACCACCGAAAATGGGCATTTTCGAAAATGGCGTATATCGCCGCCATTTTGAAATAAAAATGAAAAAAAATTTTGTTTACAAATTCTTAAATAAATTAATTAAGGAAGATTTCGACTATATCAGCAATTAGTGACATCTATTAGACGTCAATTGAACTCTTTGGTTTAGAGTCAGGTGTTATTCTTAAGATAATTATTCCGATATGGTTGTCGGTAAATAATTATATTTTTGAATTTTAATTTTTGATCTGAAAAAATAAGCTGCGTGAACGACTACACTGTGCATCTGTGAGGACTCGAACCCCAGTTAATAGCTGCCTTTCGCGGGACTAACGCCTACCAATGCACCATGCCAACACAGCCTGGACGTTCACGTTTCTTATAATCTCAGATCAAGCCCATACACTAGTCGAAGAGCTGTATAGTTAATGTAGGAAATTATTTGCTGATTAAGAATTTTAATTAAGGAAGATTTCGACTATATTACGCAGCTTATTTTTTCAGATCAAAAATTCAAATTCAAAAATATAATTATTTACCGACAACCATATCGGAATAATTATCTTAAGAATAACACCTGACTCTAAACCAAAGAGTTCAATTGACGTCTAATAGATGTCACTAATTGCTGATATAGTCGAAATCTTCCTTAATTAAAATTCTTAATCAGCAAATAATTTCCTACATTAACTATACAGCTCTTCGACTAGTGTATGGGCTTGATCTGAGATTATAAGAAACGTGAACGTCCAGGCTGTGTTGGCATGGTGCATTGGTAGGCGTTAGTCCCGCGAAAGGCAGCTATTAACTGGGGTTCGAGTCCTCACAGATGCACAGTGCAGTCGTTCACGCAGCTTATTTTTTCAGATCAAAAATTAAAATTCAAAAATATAATTATTTACCGACAACCATATCGGAATAATTATCTTAAGAATAACACCTGACTCTAAACCAAAGAGTTCAATTGACGTCTAATAGATGTCACTAATTGCTGATATAGTCGAAATCTTCCTTAATTAAAATTCTTAATCAGCAAATAATTTCCTACATTAATTCTTAAATAAATTATTTATTACATGTAAAAGAAATTTTTTAAATAAATGTCATAGTTATTTTTAAAATATATACTAAAAAAGTCTTCTTTTTGCCTGTTTTGAACTGGGACTGAACAAACAGAGGAAGTAGAATGTGAAGAAATTTGTATTCTACGACAGTTGATTGTTTAGCTTGTTAGTTGAGGCCTTTGCTTAGTGTGCGTTGTAACGATGTTGACGTTTCCTTGCGGATCTTACCCGCGAATCGTTACAAAAATGACAATTTACTGATTTCAATTGCTGAATTATAAATTCCACACTTCTAACTTATAATGCACCATCGATGACCAGTTTTAGGGAACTTCCCCGGCGCCAGGTAGGTAAACTACCCGGGTGTATGGATTATTTCCCATACTCAGTATGGGAATATGCATTTCCATACAATAGTATGGAAAAATTTCAAGACATTATGGAAATATAGTAAAAGTCCAATTTTGAGTATGGAAAAATTACAATTTAAGAAAAATTATGTATGGAAATATTTTTTTCCATACATAAGTATAAAAAAATTACAAAACATTATATAATATTTCCCGTCATGTAACAAAATTATGTTATTGAAAAAGGAATACAAAAGTAAGTATTTTTAAAATTTACATGTAAGAAAATTATGAATAATTCAATTTTTTGCTCTCCATCTTTTAATATGATTGTTATATATTTTTTCAGATTTAAAAATATGAACTGAAGGCATATGAAGAAATCAACGGTTATGAAGTTACTTTTTTATAAGATACACAATATGTTTATTATTAAATTTAACAACATTATATGTTATACCGGAGCCTAAAATTTTCAAATTAATAAAAATATTATTAAGGATTAATTGTTGTTTTAATAAAAAATTAATGTTGAATGTTCCATAATCGGAAAAAGAATATATTAAAATTTGTAAAAGTATTTTTTAAATTGAGGAAAAAGTTTAGTATTTTTTATATCAAAATTTCGCTTTGTGGCACTTTTTTCTCAATTTGTAAAATACTTTTACAAAATATAATATATATTTTCTCTCCGTGCAGTATGAGAGAATTACTATTGAATATAGTGATATTACCATTTTGTATATACAATTTTTTCCATACTAATGAAATGGAAAAATTGTAGTTTATTATACTAAAAATACTATAGGATATACAAATTTTTCCATACAATTGTAAGAAAAAATTACCTATAATAATAACAATGTTTGGTCCTTTTCCCATACAAATGTATGGAAAAATTTCATATAACGATATTAATATTATCATACAGTGTTTGCTTTTTTTCCCATACAAATGTATGGAAAAAATTCAAAACTGGTATAGGTTAATTACGTCCAAAACAAGTATGGGAAATTTACTATAAAAATTTTTTACAGTGAACTTTCCCGGACTAGCTCTTACCGAGTTCAATATTTTATTTACACGAAGTTACGTTTTATATTGAAATAATAGGGCGTGAGTACCGCACACAGAGGAGAGAGACAAGATGAATTTAACACACAAATAAAACAATTGAATAAAGAGAATTATAAGAACACACAAGTATATTATTTTCTTTTAAATCACCCTTCTTTTTATTTTAAACATTAAACTTTGTGAACAGAACTGAGAACTTCCACACGCCGGTAATTTGCGTCGGTCGACAGAAAATGGCGGAATCCTATCGGCTTTCCATGCGGTCTTCCGTCTCGATATTATTTCTCGGTCACACCGTACACCTCGGTGTTATTTCCAAGACAACGAGGAAGGTGGATCCTGGACACTAACCTTTGATTCGGCCCAACAAAGCTTGGTAATCCATTATCACTATCAATTTAATTGGAATGATCAACCGCGGTGATTTTGGACGGTACAATCGGCAGCCAGGCACGAACTGACGAAATTAGGTTAATTGACATCCTGCTTCGGCTCTGTATATATATGTCATGCGCACCTTGGGTTCGCCATAGCAGCATGATAACAGGCCCAACATCTATGACAGGTGGTTGCCAGTTGACAGTAGATTTGTGCCGATTAATATTAATTGTTGACACATTTTCGGTCGGTTGATAATTAAATAACAATAAATAACATTGTGTTTTCTAATCAACCAAAACGTGTGGAATTCTCTTGAGATAAACAATATGATTTTTATACAACTCAACATTTCTGTATTATATTGATTCTATACAATTCAACAGCATAATATTAAAGTAAAATGTTGAGTTCGATTCTGGCTATCGCATTTAATTTATAATAATTAATCAAGAATTAACTGAATAAGTTTCGGCGAAAACTCAATTCGGTTTTTATAACGTGATTATTTAAAATCAACGTTGCAGCGTCCAACCTGGGTTCAAATCCCAGTCCCCTCAGTTTTCAAAATATTTTCCGTAATGTTAGTTTTTCAAGTAAGGAAAAAAGCAGGTAGCAAAAATAAATATAATAGTATAAAATTCAAAAAATAAATCATTTTTTTCCTAAAACTGGAAAATATTTCAGTATGATTGCAAAAAGCTTGTTGCAAAAATCTTACAAATTTTTTGTAAATTTTATTATTAAGTTGGTAGCAATAATTTATTCGAAAAATTCCATGAAAAAACCCCCCAGAAGTTCCATGGAACTTTTCTTTTCTCCAAATTTTTTATTTTAATAATATCTGAACTATTCTATTATGAGTTGAGTCTAATAATATAAGCCGAAGCACTAATGAACTAAGAACTTTTTTAAAATTTATTTCCGATTCAGAAAAAATTTGTATCTTGAAAAATGACGCTCTTGTAAATTTATTATTACAATTTTTGGAGTCTAATATCAAATTTGGACTTTTTTAGAATTTATTTCCGATTCAGAAAATATTTGTGTCTCGAAAAACGACGCTGGTCTTGACAATTTTTTTTTAAAATAATTTTTGGAGTCGATTTTCAAATTTGGGCTTCTTTTATCAGTTTGAAGCTTTTTTTTATTAAAGAAGAGGTTTTTCTGCAACATGAAGGTACACAGAACTTTTCTAAAATTTATTTCCGATTTAGAAAAAATTTGTGTCTTGAAAAACTTCGCGCTGGTTCCCAGTTCGAAAAATTCAATGGAATTTTTCGACGTGGAACTGTAATTAAAAAGAGTGAAATTTATAAATAATTTATAAATAAAAATAATATTAAAAAATTAATAAAAATAATAGGGAATAAATAACTAATTTGAGTAAAAAATAACTGAAAAATTAGTTAAACTTGACTACCCAGGTGCGAATTTGAATTGGCCGCCAAAGTTTGAAGGTTGGTCCAAGGTTGGCCTAACTTTGGCAAGCGAAGTTTTGGTTGCCAGAGATTGCCCAACTTTGGCAAGTACTAGTGCCCACAGTTGGCCCGACTTTGCAAGCCAACCATTACATGCAGAGTTTAACCAACCGTCGGGCCAACTTTGGCGACAAAGGTTGGCACAACTCATCCAAACGTAGTTTAAAAGACTTTCAGTTTCGGTTGGCCCAACGGTTGGCAAAACTCTAGAAACGCAGTTTCATTGACTTAAACTTTCTTGGTCGGTCGAACTCTGGGCCACGGTTGGCCCGACGGTTGGCAAAACTTTGTGAAACGCAGTTTAATTGACTAACATTATTTTGGTCGGCCGAACTCTGGGCCACGGTTGGCCCAACGGTTGGCAAAACTTTGTCAAATGCAGTTTAAATGATTTAAACTTTCTTGGTTGGCCGAACTCTGGGCCACGGTTGGCCCGACGGTTGCCAAAACTTTGTGAAACGCAGTTTAATTGACTTACATTATTTTGGTCGGCCGAACTCTGAGCCACGTTTGGTCCATCGGTTGGCAAAACTTTGTCAAATGCAGTTTAAATGACTTAAACTTTCTTGGTTGGCCGAACTCTGGGCCAAGGTTGGCCCGACGGTTGCCAAAACTCTGTGAAATGCAGTTTAATTGACTTAAATTATTTTGGTTGGCCGAACTCTGGGCCACAGTTGGCCCGACGGTTGGCAAAACTTTGAGGAACGCAGTTTAATGGACTTACATTATTTTGGTCGGCGGAACTCTGGGCCACGTTTGGCCCAACGGTTGGCAAAACTTTGTCAAATGCAGTTTAAATGACTTAAACTTTCTTGGTTGGCCGAACTCTGGGCCACGGTTGGCCCGACTGTTGCAGCTTTAATATACATTTTACGTTATGCACTCCCATTTAAGCGTAGCGTAGTGGTCAGTGTATAAGTCTTCGGTGCGTTAGGTTAGGGGTTCGATCCCAGCGAGCGTTAGATATTTTCGAAAATGTATGTATGAGATTGTTTTTAATAATAATAGGTAAAGGTTATATCTGATGTTCCCGCTAATAATAACGTGTTAATTGTTTAAATAATTTAGTTTTTTAATAATTTTTTACCTTTGGCTGTTGAAGTTGGCCAAACTTTGAAAATTGTGGTTGGCCCAACTTACGCATCTAAAGTTCGGCCAACTTTGGCGTCAGTCTTTGGACCAACCATAGAAAGTGTACAGTTGGCACAACATATGCATTTTAAGTTGGGCCAACTTCTTTATGAGTTGTCGGGCCAACCATCGTCGTCATTAGACGACGAACCGTTATCATCTGTATGGTTAGCCCAACCTTTCTTAGTTTTTCTACGGATATCAAATTGAGACAAAAAACGAATCAAAACGTTGCTTCGCAACACTTTTGATTCGTTTTTTGTCTCAATTTGATATCCGTAGAAAAACTGTGTTGGCACGAGAAGTTGGACCGACTTTGTAAAAGTTGTTTTAAACTTGTTAAATTCTGAAATAAAGTTTTACAGTTTTCTTCTATCTGATTGTAATTTAGATGCAAGTGTTTGAGAAAACATACATTTTGAAAAAGTCTCTCATCCAAAGTTGTCAATTTATTGTGACTGAGATCTCCCAGGTGCGATTTTTTGGTCGGCCCATAGTTGGGCCAACTTTTACAAAGTCGGTCCAACTTCTCGTGCCAGAGGTTGGGCCAACCATACAGATGATAACGGCGACCGTCTAATGGCGACGATAGTTGGCCCGACAACTCATAAGGAAGTTGGCCCAACTTACAATGCATATGTTGTGCCAACTATACATTTCAATGGTTGGTCCAAAGACTGACGCCAAAGTTGGCACAACTTTAGATGCGTAAGTTGGGCCAACCACAATTTTCAAAGTTTGGCCAACTTCAACAGCCAAGGGTAAAAAATTATTAAAAAACTACATTATTTAAACAATTAACACGTTATTATTAGCGGGAACATCAGATATAACCTTTACCTATTATTATTAAACACAATCTCATACATACATTTTCGAAAATATCTATCGCTCGCTGGGATCGAACCCCTAACCTAACGCACCGAAGACTTATACACTGACCACTACGCTACGCTCACATGGGAGTGCATAACGCAAAATGTATATTTAAGCTGCAACAGTCGGGCCAACCGTGGCCCAGAGTTCGGCCAACCAAGAAAGTTTAAGTCATTTAAACCGCATTTGACAAAGTTTTGCCAACCGTTGGGCCAACCGTGGCCCAGAGTTCGGCCAACCAAGAAAAATCAAGTCAATTAAACTGCGTTTCACAAAGTTTTGCCCACCGTCGGGCCAACCGTCGCCCAAAGTTCGGCCGACTAAGAAAGTTTAAGTCAATGAAACTGCGTTTCTAGAGTTTTGCCAACCGTTGGGCCAACCGTGGCCCTGAGTTCGGCCAACCAAGAAAGTTTAAGTCAATTAAACTGCGTTTCACATAGTTTTGCCAACCGTCGGGCCAACCGTGGCCCAGAGTTCGGCCAACCAAAATAATGTAAGTCAATTAAACTGTGTTTCACATAGTTTTGCCAACCGTTGGGCCAACCGTGGCCCAGAGTTCGGCCAACCAAGAAAGTTTAAGTCATTTAAACTACGTTTGGATAAGTTGTGCCAACCTTTGTCGCCAAAGTTGGCCCGACGGTTGGTTAAACTCTGCATTTAATGGTTGGCTTGCAAAGTCGGGCCAACTGTGGGCACAAGTACTTGCCAAAGTTGGGCAAACTCTGGCAACCAAAACTTTGCTTGCCAAAGTTAGGCCAACCTTGGGCCAACCTTCAAACTCTGGCGGCCAACCTAAATTCGCACCTGGGCTAATGTCTCTAAATATTGTGAATTTCGAAGTAAATTTATCTGAATAATTTCTAATCGATTATAGGCCAAGTACAAACGTTTTAGGTTCCCTAGATTTTTAAATATTGTCTCGTCCAAAAACTTCAAATTATTATGATTAAGATCAAGTACCTCGAGATTTGTTACATCTTCAAATAGATCATGTGGAATTTTATTAATTTGATTATAACTCAGATAAAGATTTTGAAGGAATGGTAAATTTTGGAAAAGCTTTAAATCCAATTATGTCAAATTATTATGATTGAGTCTAAGTTCTTCTAAATATGATAAATCGTTTAGTAAATTTTTTGGTAATTCCTGTAGGTAATTGTTATTTATATTCAAACTCTTTAAATGTGGGATATAACCTTGATTATTTCGATAATTGAAAATTCCATATCTAATTTTTTCTTCGAATTTTGTCAGTCTGTTGAAACTGAAATCGAGGATTTTTAAATAAGTAAAAACCATGAAGGAATCATTATAAATCTCCTGTATCTGATTGTTCCTTAAATTCAGTTGTTCCAAATAGAGAAGACTGGAAAAAGTGGTATTTTCCACTAAGGTCAAATTATTATCACTGTAATCAAGTATTTCGATATATTTAGTTCCTTAAATAAATCCTTAAGAACAACGTTTGTTTGTTTTAGTTTCAAATGAGAACGTATATTAATGATATTCGATAATTCATAAATATTTCTGGTGTCCTGAATATTACAATTAATTATAGTTGTAAGCTGTTGATAAAATAACTTATGCTCAAGAGGAAGATGATAACTAAAATTTGACAAGTCTGCTCCATTTGTACATCTTACTTCACAATAATCGAAATCAGGTTTAATAACATGTTTTATAGTAATAAATTCTCCACAATGTAAAATTTCTTCCTGATAATAAGAATTGTGAATACACTCATCAGTCGCTATAGAGTCAAAACGCGTCAACCGCGAATACAATTTTTTTACAGTTTTGGAAAAGTTAAAACATTTATGAAAATCTGTAGTTCACATCAAACCAAAAAAACACTTTAAACCATTTTTCGAAATTTTAAATATTTATACCTTTTTTTATAATAAAATGTTTTTGCTTTATTTAAGAAAAAAATTAATAACTCATTACTGTTTTTCTAGAAGTTAATGGAAATTTTTTTGGTAGTCATTGAATATCCACTCTTTTAAATAAACTTAATTGCGAAAAAAAATTTTGAAAAAATTTTAATTTTTAATAACAATTTTATAAACAATTAGTGTTTTTTATGCTTTCTAGAGCAAGGATTTTAATGAAATTTATATGTAAGATACATTGAACCTACATCTTTATATTCCCGAAAAAAAAATTTTTATTTCCAATTACAACCGGAGATTTTGAATTTTTTGTTGCGACGTGCGCCGTCTGCTCGTTTACCGCGGCATTTATCACAGCGATGGATGCCGCACGGCGCAACAAAAAATTCAAAATCTCCGGTTGTAATTGGAAATACAAATTATTTTTTCGGGAATATAAAGATGTACGTTCAATGTATCTTACATATAAATTTCATTAAAATCCTTGCTCTAGAAAGCATAAAAAACACTAATTGTTTATAAAATTGTTATTAAAAATTAAAACTTTTTCAATTTTTTTTCTCGCAATTTACTTTATTTAAAAGAGATTATTCAATAACTACCAAAAAAATTGCCATTAATTTCTAGCAAAACAGTAATGAGTTATTAATTTTTTTCTTAAATAATGCAAAAAATTTTTATTTTAAAAAAAGGTATAAATATTTAAAATCTCGAAAAACAGTTAAAAGTGTTTTTTTTTTGGTTGCTGTGAGCTACAGATTTTCATAAATGTTTTAAAAAAACATTTTTTTATTACTTTTCCAAAACTGTAAAAAAATTCTATTCACGGTTGACGCGTTTTGACTCTATAGTTTCAATAATAAAAATAAGTGCCACAAAATAATGCAACATAATTAAAATTTTTGGGATAAATTCAGTTTTATCCTGAAATTTAAACAAAAATGTATTTTTCAAATACAGATGAAAAGCGCAAGAATTTAAAAATTTCCAAATTAGAAAAAATTTATCTTACCTCTTTAACTTTTGTAAACTTCAATAACAGTTTTTTAAGACAAGCGTTTGAACTAAAATTTTACTTTACGAAACTAATATATATATACACTATTTGTAATAATTATAATAAAATAATCGACACAAAAAGAGAAAATAATTTAGGTCGTATAATCTTATTTGAACAAATAAAATTAATTTATTTGATGAATAATATAAAATATAAAAATTTTAATTCGTAAACAGTATTGTAGATAATCAGAAAAAATTTCGTAAAAAAATAATAGCTTTTTGCCATTGTTTTAAAATTTTAATAGAAAAATAAAAGAAATGAAAATATTCATAAAATGAAAATTTAGTACGTTCCTGATAATGTACATATTGAATTAAGTGCCAATTATACAATTTAAACACTAGTTTATGTAAAATGAACACTTTTTCGCATTATATCATTCCACGTGTGTCACATATCTAAAATTAGATTAAAAAATTCCATGCCAATCTGACGTAATTTTTTTATTTTAAAAAGAATTGCGATTAAATAATTTACATCTAAATTTTTATCCGAATGATTATATAACTTTATGCAAAATTTGGTTCTATTTTTGGTTCCAAGTATAGGCCAACGCAGAATAGATCTGTAACCGGAACCGCAATCGTAAGCGTAACCGTAAGAATGAGTTAGAGAAGGATAGGTATATTGTTTATCCTTCTCTAACTCATTCTTACGCTTACGGTTACGATTGCGGTTCCGGTTACAGATCTATTCTGCGTTGGCCTTATATTTCTTATTTTGGCTTTGGTTATATTTTTAGTTAGTTCTTGTTCTGGTTCTATTTTAATTTTTGGTTTAATTTCTGGTTCAGTTACTCCTCTGGATTTGCTTTTGCGATTATAGTTTGATGGATTATGGTTTAGGTTGTGTTTCTGGCTTTCGTTATTGTGCTAATGCTAGTTTCTAGTTATATTTTTAGTCATGGTCTTAGTTTTGGTTACAGTTTCAGTTTAGAAGTTGGTTACTCTGGTTCCAATTTTTGTTTTTGTAGTTTTAGGGTCGGGGCTGGCAGTAGGTCGCTAGCTTATTGAAAAAATATTTATCGTTTTATTTTACTTTATATTTTATTTTTACTTTCTTTTATTATAACAACCTCACATAACCTTGGAGTGCGGAATCCAACGTATATCTGTAGACAGATTCCCCAAAATTCTTTAAGCAATAAAAAAATAAATAAATTGTAGTTCTGGTTCTTGTTCTACTTTTGGTCCAGGTTTTGTTTCTGGTCCTAGTTCTTGTTTTGATTCTTTTTTGTTTCTGATCACAATTTTTGTTCTGATTTTATTTTTCATAGTTCTACTTTTGATAATAGTTTGTAACGTGGCGTTACATAATAGTTTCCCGCGTCTGCCGAGAATTGGGCGATTGACCCCAGAAATGATCGAAGATTTCCGAGGGTGTCATTCGCCAAAATCCTCAAGGCAGATGCGGCACTTGTTTGCTTGTTCTTGGTTCGCGAGATTCGTTCGCGAATTGCAAAGTGTTCTCCCTCGTTGTTTGTAACTTAAATTTATGGTGGATAATTGAGGCTCCGCATCTTAAAAGGGCACTTTTACCATTTAAAATTAATGCTGAAAGTGCCATTTTAAAATCCGGAGCATCAATTGTGACCCGAAGTCTACGACGTTTGGGAATAGTTTGATGTTTTTATGTTATAATCCAACGTAAGTTTAAGTAAACAAGTTATTTTATTTAATTGGTTTCCTACATTATTCCACTTTCCACTACTTTTTCCCTTCATTATAATTGGAATCCGGGCATGCAGTTATAAGTTGTAGTTTTTATTCAGGTTTTATTTATGGTTAACTACGTTTTCTGGTTCTAATTTTTGTTCACAAAAAACAGAAAATTGAAGAACTCAAGAAAAGGACAAAGTGCGCTTACTGTAAAGAAAAAGGTCACTGGGTAAAAGAATGTCCAAAAAAATTAAACAGTGATAAAAGTGGACAATCTAAAAATAGTGAGAGTGTTACAGAAGGTTTCTCTTATTTTAATGATGTTAGTGCATGTTTTTCAGAATCGACAGATACTGATAAAGATGTTTGGCTCGCGGATTCAGGTGCTAGTATATGCACATGACATTTAGAAAGGATTTTTTCGATTCACTTCAACCACTTGTGGAAGATCATTTTGTCAGAATAGCTGATGACAAAGTGTTGCCTGCATTGGAACGGTCAACGATAAAAACTTTTCATATCATTCATATGGCGAAAGATGTGAAATTAGAGACCAAAGTGAAAAAGTGACGTCATGTGGTGTGCGTTATGGTAAACTGTTTCGAATGTTGTTCAAAGTTAAAATTCCGATAGAGTGTAATGTTGCAAAAGTGGACAAAAAGACTAACAAAAATTCAGTGAAATTGTGGCATGAACGATTTGGACATATAAATTTTCGTGCTTTGAAAAACACAAGCAAAGTGATTAATGACAAAAATTTTGTGATTGATCAAGATACTGTGTTTTGTGAACCGTGTGTGTAGGGAAAGCAAACCCGAAAGCATCATGCATCGGTAAAACAAGAAAGTGTTTTAAACCAGGATATTATTTTCAAGGACGATTACACAAAGTATCGGAAAGTGTATTTCTTGAGACACAAATCTGAAGTGTTCGAGAAATTTAAGGAATTCGAAAATTTAATTAAAAATCAGACAGGAAATAATTTGAAAGTCCTGCGTACTGATAATGGAAGAGAATATATGTCCGACGCATTCCTAAAATATACAAAGGATAAGGGCATTGTTCATGAATTTTCTGCTCCTTATATTCACGAACAAAATGGAAAAGCCGAGCGAGAAATTCGAACGATTGTGGAGAGTGCACGATCAATGCTGCTGTGCAAAAATATTAATCGAGAGTTGTGGATAGAAGCCGTCAACACAGCATGTTATCTGTTAAATCGCTCAATTCTGCAAGACGGTGAAACAAAATCACCATTTGAAAAATGGTTTAATAGGAAGCCTGAAATCAAACATCTACGCGTATTTGGATCAACAGCCTACATCAACATTCCTAAGGAAAAACGCAAGAAGTTCGACCCGAAAAGCAAAGGAACAATTTTCGTAGGATACGAAAATGAATCTTCGAACTATCGCCTTTGGGATAATGAAACCAGGAAAATTTACATTAGTAATGACGTAGTTGTGAATGAAGAAGAAACTCAATTCAAGAACATGCAACAGAAATCAATTTTAACATTAACCTTGAGGATGACAACGACAACGAAGATGACCATAATGTTCCTGAGCAAGAGGTGCCACGTCAAATTGTTGAACAAGATGCTGTTCAAGAAA